ACGGATCGACATAGAGTTTGTTTTTGACTCTATTGATGAGTTAATGAATGGGGAGTTATTTCCTGGACCAATAGATGTTCCAGCAAAATACAATTCTTTCTTGAACTTCATGAATATTTTAATGAATAAAGAGTCATATTTTGATTATATTTATGTTTTGAAGAGTTGTTTCTTGGAGAAACAGATGTTATAATGATGTACAATTCTTTCTTGAGCTTCGAACAGTTTTATTCAATAAGAAGTCCTATGTTTTAGTAACGGAGAGCTTTTTCCGGAACGAACAGATGTTGTAATGATATAACTAGGATTCTTGAACCCTACTGATGTCGAAACGGTGCAACATCCTTTCTTAACTCTATGGATATTGGAATCTATGTAAATATGATTTATTGGTATAGTATCGTAACTAATCGTTCTAGCTTTGTGTTAAAGGAGTTCGGTTCAGTGGAAAATGACGTTTAATTCATATTATTTATAAAATCATATAACAAACAAATGTTGGTTGTAATAAGAACATATAGTTTGATATTAAACGCCATCAGTGAATGCAATGGTCAAAAGAGTAATAATGGTAAGTGTCCAAAACACAATTATGCATCTAAACACAATTTAGGTATTGTTTAACATACTCTCAATTTAACAGCAACGTTATTTGGGCAGCAACTACTAACAGTTAGAACAATTATCATTATATAACGTTGTTTATTAATGAAAATAATGCACGTATTATACAAAATCTCATCTGAGCTTGTATTTCCATATCGCATAATCATGCGCACTTGTTATATGTTTTACATATTTATAATAGTGAAAACAAGTAATGTCAATCCTTTTTTACTTTTTATTCTGATTTATGTAATTTTTATATCAGTCAATCATAAACGATAACTAACCTAGAAGCAAAATAATTAAACTTTGTTTTGTGATAATATGAAAGATTGCAGACAGTAAAACTGTCACCTTTCATGCTTCTTATATTATACAGGATTAAACTTAAGTGACATGCTATAAATTGCGCTATGAAAGGCCTGTAGTTGTAATTGCTAGGTTACATTGATGGATCCCTATTTGTGGAATTCAGGTATGAAATAGATACAGTCGTGAATCTCGCATGAGAGTTAAGGGTTAGAGTGCTTTATATGTGTGTATACTTCTCTGTGTAGAAAATAACTTGTTCTAATTTTCAAACATATTTGTATACAAACCATTTTTGTGCTGTACATACAGTTCCAGAAGCTACTTCGGTCAAAATAATAATATAATAATGATTAAGAAGTATCTTATGGAATTTGTGAAACATTCTAATTCGCTTGTTTTCTCTTTTATTGAAACGAAACGTAAGACCTCACTCTCTCTTGTGGGTGTTTTATGTTGTAATCGTCTAATCTGGAATTTGCCCTACTATTTTGTAAGTCGTGACACGTTTCAACACTCTCCCTATCACATTCTTTTCTAGGACCAAACAAGTTGCAGTTGCTCTACAAAACTCTGTTTTTAAGATTTTCAAGCAAGACATGATATAGACGCGCATTATGAAAACCGGTTTAGAAAACTTGCACTTTCTTGTCTAGGTTCAAAACCTGCAAAACATGCCAATAGTTAACTTTCGAGTTCCGTCTAATGAGGACGTGGGGTAGAAATCCTTAACTGTCCGGTGTGACCTAGTTTTATATAATGATACCATTCTTGGGGAAGGAAGAGAAGAAAGAAATATTAGTAATTGAAAGATAATAAAAATGTAAATTATTTTGTTAACTAATTAGATGATGTGGAGGCGTGTGAATACAAAAAAATAACAAATAAATAAAAGGTTTTACTATAGAATGATTTTTTTATATACAGATACGTAGAAAGAGGGAGAAAGATAGAGATATAAATAAATTGATAACAAATAATGTTCCTCATTCGCTACACATGATTTCAAGTGAATCTGTATGGTAGGTTATGGTTAATTTATTTAACACTATCCTCAAATTTTGTGTCTCTAAATGTAATTAAAATATTCTGTAACAAATCAAGACATATACGTAAATATATTTTAAAATGTAACAGAAAAACTCGCATAGACAAGTCATGCCGGAAAAAAATGTCAAAAAACCTATATAGTCATGAGTGGTAAATAACTGCGTACTGGTATTCAAATAACGTTGAGGATGGTCCGTCTCTTCAATTATTCATCAACGCGGAGACGAATCTACTGTGTAATAACAGATGGGAAGATAGTTGCTCATTAATAAAATCAAATAAACAATAAACAGGAAGATTATGTTTCTTAGATGGGACGAGGATTTTTATATGTGTGGTTGGGAGACGTAATCCTTTTATTTATTTGATTATTTATTTCACCTTTCATATCTTATGCATTATGTCTCTGCTATTAGCATTCTGTATTATTTAGGTTTTCCTATGGATGGGTTGCTTATTCTCTATTTGTGCTTCTACTGGGTAACTATCTTCCCATAATTCGCTGCAGACGATAAATGTGTACTTTGTTTCAGAACAATTTAGGGGATTCAAGCATCTGATTCCTCTACTAATTTCATATTTGTTTATTTGTTGTTGCACAGCAGTTTCTTATCCGCATTGGTGTCCAGTTAAGGAGACAGACCATCTTCAACGCTGTACGATTTATCACTCATAACTTTATAGGTTTTAAACATGTCTTACTTTTTTTGCTCGTTTCTGCATTACATTTTAAGATATCTTCACCTCATTGTTTTATATTCGCTGACAACTTTCGCCCATTTACACAAATTATATTAAGCTCTCATTTTGTTGAATGTATATTTATTATAACTACTATATATATATATATAAAGATACTGTTACGGTCGAAAATTATTTACATATTATTTTAACATGATAACAGTCATAGTTACAACTATATATCACCATAGATATTCATGCATGTTATTCACATAAATAAGAAATAACAGAAGATTAAAAACTCGCTTTATACGAATCATTTGCATATACTAATGTAGTGACGTGTGGCTGCAGATATGAACCTTGGAATACAAGCAACAAGTGCCTATATATTTGGTTTACGACGAATTCCTGGCCATTTGACAGTACAATGTCATAATGTAGCCTTATGGCTGGAAGAAGTTGTTATAGCTTTTTCTGAAGAAGTCTAGATCTGTACTAGCAGTCCCTAATTTTGAACTGATATACTAGAGGGATGGTAGCAAGCCAACAGCACCCAAAACCAATTATAATAAAATAGCGGGATTTGATCGACAATCTTATAATGCTTGCATGATCCTAAAATATGGAGCTTCGTTTTTTTTTCGTCTTTTTTCTTTCGGTGACGCAAACCTGGACCTTCGAATACACTAACCTTCAAATTCGATGACGAGGAACCCACTTTGAGACTAATAATGGTTGGAGACGGCTTGAATGGGTAATGAAGAAAAACTTTGATACAATTTTAACACAACAGCAAATGAACAACGTTTCGACAAGGTTTTGTACCTAATGATGACAAAACCTTGTCGAAACTTTGTACATTTGCTGTTGTGTTAAACTTATATTAAAGTTTTTCTTCATTACCCATTCAAGCCGTCTCCAACCATTATTACACTAACCTTGAGACCATAGATAACCTTCTACAAAGTGAAGGTTCTGGTTAGGAAACAGAATCATTCAACCCAAAATACCATTTTGATAAAGCTGGGCATATTTTCTTGTTTTCTAAAATCATACGATAAACAAGGATTTCGATTTAACAAAGGCTCAAAAGCTTTCAGACACATACCTCGATGCCAATTAACTTGAATCACAGCAGTCAACTCCTACAATACAACTCTAACGAATTTTTGTGTTTTCGATCTGCTTAAGCGTGGTCTTTGAAGCCAACGTTTCTGAATAGAGGAGGATGTGTTGTCTCACACTGACCTTGTAATCCTCTGCAGAAGCGTGCTACAACGAAAACTACGTTATCGGTTGATGATAAGTAACTATGGAAATCAGGCTGAAAATGAACGACGACAGAGGATGTAAATCGTAAGGGCGTCACTAGTCTTCGAACATCGTTCTTACAATGTCACAAACCTCAGTATACTTCACTTCTTTCTTATTATTAATTGTTCAATTAAAAATTACTCAATGACAAAGTTTTAGTGTCATTATTTGTAGTGATCGAAAATCTAAGGATTAGTAGACTTCTAAAACATTCTAAACTATTGCTGTAGGACGATTGATAAACGCTATGCAAAATCTTGTTTGAATTTTGTTTGAACTGCAAATATAATAATATATCTTTTTTTAATGTTATTGGTCTATTTGAACACTTAAAGTATCGACACTCTTATTTGAAAAAAATATTTTAAGGTGATAACTGATAGAATTTCTAAAAAGTCCACTAGATTCATGTTATGCCGCTTAATTTCAATTAACTAACAGGTTTTATACTAAGTAATTCTGCCATCTTTTGGATATTTTGAGATTAAATTAAATTTGACCAAATATTCTCAGTTTGAGCAAGATTTATTTGCCATTGTTTCATAAAAAAATATATATTGTAGATTAACCATTTGATTACAACTCAAAAAACATTAGGAAATAACTATTGAAATAATTTGGGTTAGCAAATTATCAGATACGTTTGAAATTTAAATTTTAAGATAAACATGTTTGTTGTTTCCGTAAGTGAAATGTGCTCCATTCTTTCTTTAATGCTGCTTCTATTCATGGTGTTAATTACAATATTTATTATGTCTAATCTTATTACTTAACATTTTCATGATCATATTCTTATTATAGAAATTGCCTTGCATTGTTAGCTTAGTATACGGGTTTAAAATTAACCTAAATCTCCTGATTTGGCCGAACCTCTTGAGATACCATTGGGAGTACAGCCAATAATATCGCTAACAGCAAGAATACAAAACTGAAACAATGCATTTTAATCTTTATAAATTATAACTTAAGAAAAGTGAACTGTATTTGATATGCTTATTAACTGTGACTTTTAGTTTTGACCTAAGTAGATAGCTTGCTCAGAACTAAAACTAATATTAATTGGCAGACTATTTTAACTTAAATCATGCTCTTTACTTATGTAACTTTAAGCTACAATAGCAACATTATTATCTCTGAAATTAGAAACAATGGAAAGTTTGAAGAAATCTTCTTATAACTTTTTTTTTACGTGTAAGTAGAGAGTTAGTTATGAATGGTGCGAATCAAAGTATGACTTTGTAAAACGAACTCATTATATAGCTAATACATAACCGGAATATTTAGGGCATCGATTTTTTAATAGAAACAAACAACCACAGTATTCTTTAGCCATTACTCTCTCCCGGTTGTTTCCTGGAACGAAACTGCTTTCCTTTTTATTGATGCTTGACGTTCAGTTTAGATTATTGCTTAGAAAGTACCAGACCTGGGAAGAAAGTCTTTGACGTATATGTAACCCATGACATAAAGACGGTTCTTGTTCATTGGCGGATATATCGGTACAACACCTTTACCAGTAGTTGCTGCTGGTTGTAGTGTATCATGTGAAGGTTTTATGGCTAGCTGGGAAAGAGCAGGTCTGGGAAATCCCTTGGCAGACTTGATTAAAGCAGCACCTCCAGAGCCTCGTTGAAAGTGTGTAGCCATCCTCCCATCTCGAGTGTGAAGGTAGTAAGCGAAATTCCCTTTAGACTGTCAATACATACAGATAATTATTTTAGAAATATTTGAATACCGAAAGTTGAAAAGGTAATTATCTCTGTAAGTTACATTTCAAAATTTAAGATATAATATAACTTATTTTTATTACAACAATGTGAAAAACGTGTAAAACCATCTTAAATAATATCACTATGTAAATAAATGACATGCTTATATTTCATAGCTACAGTAATGTTTTTGCTAGTTCAAGGAATAACTATCAAAACTATGAAGAATTATATGTTTTCTTTAAACACAAATAAATTACATTAAAATTTTGTCATAAAATTATTCTTTATACACATGGAAGATAGTTTGTATTGTTTAAACGATTTTTATGTGCATGAATGCATGACGTTGAACAGCAAGAAAGTCATGCTTAGTAGACCGTAACCTCATTTCACGTTCTTTTACAGACGTAGATGGCTGCTTTGGTCATGAGTGAAATTGAACAATTATTATAATTCTTTAATTAAGAAAGGCTGTTTTAATTTCACACAATAAAAGGTCAAAATGAATACATTAAAATATATCAAAAAAGATTCGCAAAGCTCTAAAAGTGTAATAAAAGAACTGGTCTACTTGGACATAAGAGATAGTAACAAAACGAAACATATCCGATAAGGACTTCTTCGAAGGTGTCTTGTCTCAAAATGAAAATATGTCATCACTTTTGGCTGTTGCCTAATCGTTATAAACATATGTCATCACTTTAGGCTGATGCCTAATCGTTATAAAAATAAAACATAGTTCGAATAATAATTAAAGCAAAATTAAAACAATCAATCCAACTACATACACCTGGAGTACTTAGTACACCATCATATTCTCATTGCAAATATTCAATAAACGTATCATAATCAAAAATCGTCTATCGTTGTTTGATCAGTTTTATAAAATTTAATGAAGAGAAAAACAGTGATATTGAATTTTAGAATATTTCATGGATCATTTCTCTTCTTGGGAAAATATGTGCTTTTAGAATATTTAGAAATTTTTCTAAGATTTTGACAGGAAGTCTTAATCCATATGTGTGAGGACACCTAACGGTAGCCCCACATATTCCATGATGCAGCACAGATATACAACTTGTAAAAATCAATTAAATATGTCCTTAATTAATTAATTTACTTATCATTATAGATCAGTATGAGGCCTATTTTATTTTTATCACAACATTATATAACTTCTCCCTCAGGGAGTAGCAAGAATTAGAACAGTGCATAATAATAGAAATTAACCATAATAGTAACCATTGCCAACGACGCGTTTCGCTCAATCCAGAGTTCATCAGGCCAGGTGGGACATAATAAGCATAATAGTGGTCCAAATACTACTTACATAAGCCATTTGTTACAACAACGATTGTTTTGATGTGAACGCATTTTTAAGCTGTCAAAGCCTGATTATAATCAATTTACTTGTCATTAGACATCAGATAAATTAAATATATGAATTACGTTCCACCCACTACTGTGTTCAATGTATCCAAGCCGGCATGGTGAGCTTTAGACTGAGCAAAACGCGTTGTCAGCAATGCATACAGTGAACATAGTATGCTTGAAGTACTATCATATAATACTTACTAATTCTTGAAAATTCCTAGGGAACTACATATAGAATGCAGTATCAAAAGTGTAATAGGCCTCATATTAATGTCTAATGACAAGTCAATTAATTATAATCATGCTTCTTCAGTTCGAAAAAGGCGTTCACATCATAAAGAAAATTTCTTAGTTAAATTCAAATGAAAACTTTGGGTACCTAATTATTATAACATTAGTACAACCCCGTAGAGGATGGCTTATGATAAAACAATTGCCGTCAAGATTTGAAGATACAAACAATATCATACATCATTTGACAACATTTTGCAATATTTATTACAATTCTAGTCATTGTAATATTATTAGTACAGCTTAAAATGAGCTACATCTGAGAAAAGATGAAAATCTGTTTGTATATTTTATCAAATCTAAAGCCTAGTCTGAATCCACAAAGTTGGGCTGTTAAATTATTGATACAAATTTTGTGGAAAAGGCTTATCTTTTTCTCCCCCGATGGGACAGTGGTAAGACTTCGGATTTACAATGCTAAAATCAGTGGTTCGATTTCCTTCGGTGGACACAGCAGATAATCTGATGTGGCTTTCTTATAAGGAAATACACACCTATCTGCTTTTGCATTTCATTTTCTTTAATGGAAATAAATAAAGTTTGAAGCAAACTTTCAGTCTACTCAAGACCTAAATCAATTTGTTTGCAATATGTGTAAGTTAAAATATCAAGGTCAAGGTCAAAATTTAGTTGCCTGTATTTCTTAAATAACACTAACAAATAAAACGTTCTGGTATGATGACTCAAAGATTTAAAGTAGTATGAGTGTGGGGCATATTCATTACAGGGTGTTATCCTAATCATGAAGTACTGCTTCTCAGATTAGCGAAAATGAAAATTCATATAGATTACATATTACCAATGCCGAGAAAAGTTATCTATGCATCTATCAAACCTTGAAATAACCAAATAACATCTAATTCAATATTTCAAATGTTTGTCCTCAGCTTTCTGTCAGAAAAATTGTAGGAAATATAATGAATAACTATAATCAAAGGAAATAATATGTAAAATATACATTAAAGTCTACATGCAGGGGATACAACCAAAAATATTATTCATTATATATATATATTTAAAAATTTTAGACTAAACTCAACTAAACACAACATCATATGAATGATTCTTTACATTTACTGTAAATACTTACGTCCTGATAAGTATGTGAAACTCCCACACCTCCAGTGTGAACTAGGTGTGACAAACATGTTAACAGGAACACGGCAAAAATCACTACCTGGAGGGTTAAAAAAAATAACAATAACGGCCGAGTCACTTTAATGTATAATTTTTTTTCTACGATTTTCACAACTTATTACTTCATCGTTGCTTGAACAATACTATGAAAATTAATTTATAAATATTTTATAATGATAAATTATATGTGCGGTGAAATGACTTCTTATATTAAAAAATTCTAAGTACAATTAAGATTTAGACAATGTTCCATATATAAATTAGAAATAACAATCTTGTTTTTAAGATATATATTTGACTTTAAAGAAATCACATTGCAACAAGAACAGCTCTTGGTTTACATTCAACGTTAACCATCGAAACTTTCTTTCACAAGGGCTAAATAAATTCCTTGAGCAATAAATTGTTGTAAATCAAGAAAAAAGGTACTTCTCGATAAACCTTTTGACTTTCATTGCAGTTTCCCTGTGGGTAAGCAGTAAGTTTACAGCCTTACAATGTTCAAATCCTGGATTTGATCCCCTGTTGCGGAGAAAGCGCAGATAGCCCATTCTGAGCTTTGCGTTGAAAATTCAACATCAATAAAAACTTTCACGATCAATCCAATTTCGAAATTTTTCTTTTACCATCGTTATCCATGAAAGAACTATATATGTTTTTGTTTTTGTATTCACGACACTTTTCGAATTACTTCTGTGGCATCTTTGAATAACTTATTAAGAAAACACAACCAACTAGAAGTCTAAGATGTCAAGACATACCTTCAAACCCATTAGAAATTTCGTTCCAAAAGAAAAAGTTACCCGGTCTATACTCCGTAATGGACAAAGAAAAGATTCCGACTCCCTAATCTTGGCCCTTATATAACATTCGCTTCCAAGGGACCAACTGGTACGATATTTCAAGCATGACTAGCCTGTATAAACCATTAGTTATATTTGTATTAAGAACCGCATAACCGAACTTTATTAATCCGCCACTGTACCTATTCCCGACGTCCTCCAACATGATTTTTGAATAAAATGGACGAGGTCATTCAAACGTATCAAAGTAAACTTTCAAATCCGTCTTCGTTATGTACGAGTAAGTATAAAATGTTTACATGGCATGATTATTGGCTACGAACAAGACTGTGTACTACATTTTACTGATGTAAAACGATAACTCTAAAAAGACTTATTCAACAGCAGATTTATACTTGTTCTTGTTAGAGGGTGATAGGGTGGCTCAAGGTAAAAATGAGCACGTTGTCTTTTACTGATCACAATCTAGGTCATTTTGAAGTGTTACCTTAAAATATGCATTTTATACTTGTTTAATATTCGTGACTCAGTCACTGTCTGTATGCATTAAAAGTTCTGGTAATCAACCGAAAATAATCGTTATCTTCCGTTTTTAGCAATAGTAAGAAGCTAACAGTAAACATATCTGAAAACTATGATTTCTTTTATTTTATCTTTTCCATTTTGTTCTGGAACACTTCTCTTCAATGAATCACTATAATGTTATAAGCATACCTTATATTTCCGTCGACATCACATAATAATTGGATCAGCTTGATTGATTGTTTAGCTGTAATATTACTACAGCTGTGGTTGTTTATAAGGACATGATTCCAAAATTAGTTGTCTCAAAAATACTTAAAATGCTCAGTGATTTCCTTTGTTTTTGCATTTTTAAATGGTTGCAAATAACAATGCATCCTTTCCCAAAGAAAATAACATTAGAATCTTAGTGATTATATATGTAATGCAAACAGACCGTTTCACTAAGGATATTAAAATGAAATTGAAGCTAAAAGTAACTATTACAAAATCAAACAAGATCAAACTTACCACTCGCAGTAAGTATTCACATGGTACAACTTTAGTGGTAACAATCTGTGGTAGAAATACACAATACAAAAACCGTTGGAGAAAGTCTATCTATCAGATATCACCATATAACGCTGATGAATGAACTCTGTTTCCATTCACTATAGGCAGCCAAAGTTGATAATACGGTAACTGCCCTATAATACTATTTAATAGCTATCAACTTTTAGATTCTACATATTTTTACACCTGAATTCAACACATATTTTACATTACTGCAACTGAAGTTAAAGAGGGACTATATAACTCTTATATACCAAAACACCGCGTATTGTACATTCTTATTAAATCGGGAATTAGTTTCTAATACAGTAATATGCAGATGTGAGTATAAGGTTTGCAAAATAATACTTTGATTCAGTGACCGTACAAACATTTGCTCACATCAAAGTGATGTTTTCGAATTAAGAATTTACGAAAATGACTACGTAAAAAGTTAAACTTAAAATGAACTTCACTGTTGTTAAAGAGAAAAAAAAGCGATACCATTTTTTCAAGTTATTAGAAAAACAAACAAACTATAAGCTATAAATCATTTTCAATAAAAATATCTAGGGCTATTTTATAATGTCTTGAATTTCATAATTCTGGTAAACAATAATAATATATACCACAAGCTTGGTAACATCGAGATTTTTGCAAAAGCTTTTAAAAGTGTAATTATTAGAACTTACGTCTGAGACAGAAACACCATGGAATTAAAATTATTGATAATTTAAAAGAGGCGGGTACTGATTTAGTGAAATTCAATAAATTTTAATTAAAGTATAATTCTCCGTAATTATCAAACCATGTGATGTTCTCAAATGCGAGAGGTGTGGAGGTTAACAATAGTACGTCTAAGTGATATATCATGTCAAGTTACTGTAGATAGAACTGTAGTGTATAACAAGTTTACTGCTAATAGTACGTCTAAGTGATATATCATTCCAAGGTACTATAGCTAGAACTGTAGTGTATAACAAGTTTACTGCTAATAGTACGCCTAAGTGATATATTATGTCAAGTTACTGTAGATAGAACTGTAGTGTATAACAAGTTTACTGCTAATATTACGTCTAAGTGATATATCATGCCAAGGTACTATAGCTAGAACTGTAGTGTATAATAAGTTTACTGCTGATAATACGTCTAAGTGATATATCATGTCAAGTTACTGTAGCTAGAACTGTAGTGTATAACAAGTTTACTGCTAATAATACGTCTAAGTGATATATCATGTCAAGTTACTGTAGCTAGAACTGTAGTGTATAACAAGTTTACTGCTAATAATACGTCTAAGTGATATATCATGTCAAGTTACTGTAGCTAGAACTGTA